GCCTGCACCTAGAGCAGGGTCTAAGGGCTCCCGGGCCCCCAAGGCCTGCTCCCAGCCCATCTCAGTGGCCTGAAACATTCAGCACTCTGGCCCATCCTCATCCCAGGCCCAGGCCTGCCAGAATGATTCAGTCCCTGGGCCCCGCTGGGGAGCAGCTCAAGCTGCCTTTCATCTCTGCCAAAGGCAGGCAGCTGCTGCATTTTCAAATTCTCCTGCCCTCTTTTTTCTCTTTCCCTGTATTTATTTATTGCTTGTGCTAAAGACCAAACTAGACCCTCTCTTTAGTGCACCTAAACGGGGGAGGCCACTGAGAGGGGAGCCATGTGCCTGTGCCAAGCAGGAAAGCTTGGCCCCTGGGGAGTACATGAAGAGGGAAGCCAGGGCGTGTGTGCACGCATGTACAGATGTGCTCACATAATGGTCTCCCTGTGTGTGGGTCTTGGTATACAGACATATGGTACACAAGTGTTTGTATACAAGTAGTCTGTGTGTGTGTGTGTGTGTGTGTGTGTGTGTGTCTGCCCACAGGTATGTGTGTGCTTGTTTTTTATTGGGGTAGGATGGGTTTGGTGCTCACCAACCTGAACTGGTCAGGTTGGATGCTGGCCACAGACATAATCACAGTCCAACTTGAGTCCCTGCCCTGCCCTGCCCTGGTTATGCAGGCTTTACACGGTGTGCAGCAGTTTGAGGAGTCTGATGCCTCTGCACCAGGTCCTGAAGGAGGCCATGGGTGCATCTGTGCATGCGAACATGTGTGAGTGCGTGGGGGTCCCGGGGTGTGTGTGTGGGAATGTCAGTGGGGTGGGTGCTGTGTGCAGCATTGAGAGCTGCACAGAGTGAAGTGGCTGCCCTGAGCCCATGCTGGTGCTGTGCCACCTGGTCCTTGTCCAGCTGAGGGCCTGGGGGCAGAAGGACACAGCATAGGGAGGCCCCTGTAGGGGTGTCTGCCCTGTGTGAGGTCAAGAATGTTAATCTATTTTAAATGGTGAAACTGGAGAATTTTCATGTTATTTTCAATACATAGAGGTAACTAAAGATGTAGGCAACGAGACTAGACCACATTAAATGCATTTTGATCTCTTTGAATGCTACTGTGTTGAGATGTGTGTCTCATTGTCCTCTGCCTGCCTCTGCCACATGCCGAGCATTCACATATCTCCTGGCCCCTGCAGACTGGACCACAGCACTCCCTGGGGTGGGAGCTCGTCTTCGGGGACAGAGTAGGACACGGCTGCAACATTGCTGAGAAAAGACAGCCTGGCCTCCTCTCAGACTCCAGGGTAGGATTTCAGCCTTTTTCATGGACAATTCCCACCCCCTCCACATACTACCTGTGTCTCATTCTTTGGCTCTTACTGCCCCGCCCTCCTTCCACACAGTAGCACCGAACATCCATTCCTACAGGTGTGGCCAGGACCCTTCCAGAGCTCCTTCAGATAGAGGAAGCCTGGCCCTGAAATGGGCAACCATGTTTCCTCTGAGAGAAGGGAGAGGAGGGCCAGGGACTAAAAGAAGTCCTTCCCCGGCACAAGTCAAACTGGTGACACAATGAGGCCAGGGTGAGGCTGGAGCTGAGAATAGAGTGCAGATGAATGCAGCTGGTAGGACCTGTGTTGGTTTGTTTTCTGGAAATTGCTGTTGTTGTGCCCAGGGCTCAGACTCTGGGATCTCCATGGCCAAAGCCTGTGCAGAAGGAATCCCTTCCTTTGTCCAAACTGTGTCCACGAGTGGATAGATCTCTAACCCTCCACCCCAGCACAGACCCAGGGGCTCCTCATTCCACAGACGTAGATGATCTAGATGAGCGATACGTTCTCTAGCCTCTGATATCGTGATCTAAAATCCCAGCAGGGCTTCCCTCTGTCAGAGTCTGCAAGAGTGGGGTGGGGTGAGGGGCAGGGCTCTAGAGCTAGGGGCTTGGTCTGGTAAGGCACATAGCCCTGGAGCTCTGCTAGGATTCTTCCACCAGGATCTAAGCCAGCTGGGGCCAGTGTTGTGACCTCATTCTTTGTATACAAGCCTCCCCTCCAGTATTGACTAGCAAGTCTAGCCCTGCCTGTGGGTAGGCTTTACAGTTGGTCCTGGTTGCTACACATTGCTGGCATTTCGAGTCCCCTGATGTGCAGTTTCTCAGCATCCCCTCTCCTGGCTGTGCTGATATCCTGAAGGGCTGTAGAGGTCAGATTTCAGGACACTTGACTGCCAGGGCACTCATGTGCCTTCAGTTTCACTATCAGTTAAAAAGGTACTGCTAATGGCCAGCTTGCAGACATATTGAAAGAGGGGGAAGTAGGAAGAACCATGACTTAGCATTAAGTGTTTGATTTATTTATTTATTTGATTTATTTATTTATTCTGGGGCTCTGGGCCCTGTGCTAGGATACTTGATAGCAGGTACAACAGCTGTACCTGAATGATGTGGTCAGTGGGACAACTCACTCACTGTCCTGCCCTATCAGGGATGAAATGGGTCACTTTGGGATTTGCATTTAGACAGGTGGGACTGCTGGCACTTGGCCATGAGGTGGGGACAGAGTGCCTACTACTTTAAGTGTAGTAGTGCCTGGAAGTCTCTGTTGATACTAGCCATTCCCTGGCAGGCCAAGAGGCATCATTTCTCTGTGTTAGAGGAAGTTTATCAAGAGGGTTAGGATTTTACTGAGATCACTGGAGGGCAGTTATTTGAGATGGGATCTAGCTAAGCTTCAGGCCCAAGCCATCTTCATGTTGGGTCAGTCAACCCAGACACTCCACACTTGGCCTGATGGTGACAAGGGCAGAGGCCAAAGTCCCTGTCAGCTGACGAGCAGCCTGGTGAGTAGTCTTCTCTAGTCATCCTGTCTATTCTGGGGGAGGTCTCTGGGACTTGAGGG